GATCCGATGTTAAATGCGGCCAGGCAAATTGGTGGCCAATTTGCTGTACAGCAAAAAGAAAAGGTTCCGATTTAAATACAAATTAAATTCCAGTATCCATCATATTTCATTCAGCACAGTAGACATAGTTACTCAAAAATAATTCGATTCGTAATACTTTGGCGAAAATAAGTACACACACACCTTTAGACTTTTGGCTCATTTCCAAAAAATTTCAGTCCTAGCTCCTCTGAATTTGATCAGTTCAGTCCCATTTCCCCTAACTTTGTTCATCACTTTATTATTTTGTGGGAGACGAAAATACAGCCGTGCTAATCATTTCGAACGTTGAGGACTACTAACGCACTGAAAAAGCTTCTAGCTTTTTGGGGTTTTTTCTTGGAAGGACAAAGTTTGAAACTGTTTGTCCACGTTAAAAGTCAAAAATCTCCCTTTTCACTGTGTTTGAGAAGGATAACATGGAGATTAGCACGCTAGGAAGTGACATGAGCACATGTCAACAGTAACTAGGAATACGAGTTAGCAACCTACCTGAGAAAAACTTTGGTGAGTCCATGAGTGGATACTACGTATACTTGAGGGCTGGGTTTGAGCTGCATGAGACTTCGATGGACGGGGAATATCCTCTTAAAATTACAATCCTGTAGCTTTCCAGTTACTAGTATTTTTATAATTTTTAGACCAAAATTTTTGGTGCTGGAGTTTTCAAACTCTAATTTTTGCGTTGGTGGGAAAATACAGCTTCAGATACGGACAAGGAACACAAAAACTAAAATTTGTGTGATTTTCAGTTGGCCAAATATCTTTCGGCATTTCAACTGAAATATTATTTTGCTGTGGATAATACATATGTTGGGAAGAAGCTTGGCATCATTTTGTTCCCTTTTGCACATCGAGTAAGTTTTCGCATTGGTTGTCCTATGGATACATTGGAAAAAAAAAAAAAGAAACAGAAATCGTTAAATTCCAAGAGCTACATGCTGTGGCTGTAGCAGTTTTATACCGTGAAATCTGTTTGAGTTGTATATATGAAAAGTTTCGTCGGATGTGGTTGAAACCATAGGTTTATCCAGAAGGTGAGGAGGGGCGGTGGGTCTTTGGTCCCCCACCCAGTAATGCAGGCACCAGTGCTGCAAAAGTCCGGGTTTAAAAATAAAAC